GCGAGTAAAAAAGAATGAGAAGAGTTGCACGTTTGGGCGCCCTATTTCGGAATCAGAATTTCAGAAAACTGAAATGGGATTCGGTTGGTTGAGTGAAGTTTACGCTATCCGGAACGCCCCAAGCAGAAATTCCATCACATTTGTGGGGGGAATGCAATCGTTCAGGAATGTCAATCACTCGATACTCCAGAGTTTTCCGACACAATGTAATAGAGCAGGTCAAAAAGTCTGATCTAGCCATTTTTATCAAGAAAATCTTGTATTTCCTATCGCCTCGGCGTAGAAAGAAAACATTGAGTGGTTGGAAACTTGTTCTTGTTTACTAGCTGATAAACTAAGCTAACTGTGGCAACGTAAATACAAAAGATTAAAACAAAACATTGTCTGTTTTTGCTCAATCGCGATTTGTTTTGGGATGAACAACGTCCTATTGCATCATACAAGCCAACCGGCTCGTTCGATATCACACGTGTACGGCCTTCATTGTGTCTCATCCGAGTTGATCTGTTTATTTATTCCTGAGTCACTCAACCCACGATTACGTGTTCTTCATCAGTTAATCGGAGAGCAGTTTTAATTGGGCAAATAACAAATGCAAGGAGGTCAACTAACCCGAATCGTGTGTGGAGGAATCATTGGTATAATTATTGTAATACAAAATTGGCAAAATCGGTTAAGTCTAGTGAACCAATTCGATTTTTTTGTACATGACAATATTTGACATTCCAATTCGAGGTCCGAAACTGTGATCAGGCAGCGACGACCGAATTCTAGTGGAAGCTAGGCGATTGTTTGTTTTTATTCACGGACAAAAGATAATTATCATTTGTTCATCCTGTAGACAGTTCATAGTGGTATAATGGAAGGTGAACGATTGCACAAAATTTCAGTACAACGTCATTTAAACTTTGGTCACTCATGCGGGGTTTTTTAAACGTTTTTGTTAAATTGCCATTTTTTTAGTTGACCCCTTGTCCATGATAATCCTCTTCTGCCATGTCTGGGAAGTTGCCGGTGTACTCTATGATTATTTACTACATTTGCAGCATTTGATTTTGCCCACGGCCTGTTTTCAGCCCCATAGATTGCTCGTTTACTCTGACATGGTGTTCATGTGTTCAAACCATGTCTCTACCACTGTGACCTTAAAAGGTATGATAACTTGGTGTAGCGAATTAATTCGTGTATGAAGCAAACAAATCGTGGATTGGAGAACCAAGAGGCACTGTTTCCAACTTGTTAGGTCTCATCAGCAGTGCGAATCAGTCGATCTTACCGAAGATCGAGCACGGGATCTCATACTACTCACTTGACCATCCAGATAATTGAACAGATCCTTTGTCTGCTTCTGTCCATGGGTCTGGTTGTTTGATGTTAGTCAAGTCAAGAGTGCACTTTATTCGTCCAATGCGGGCAGAACGTCCGTTGTTTTGGTATACGCGCTATTGAAAATGAGTTTAAATGTAGGACAAATAATTACTTAGATGATGATGAAGAGGACACTGAGAACGCGTAAAATCTTTCAGCGTGACAGTCTACATGAAACAGTGTATACGTTCGTTTGATATTGGTTCCCGAAAAACCAACAAACGTGAAAGGTAAGATATAACTGAGTTGTGAAAAGCAATGGTACGTGCATACAAAGGTTGCAATTTATTGTGGGTGACGGAAGTCGAAATGGAGCTAGATTGGGTTGACTGTAAAGGATGTGACGCATCGGACAAGATAGTCACACATATAGTCACACACTTTAAGGTGTTGATTGACAATGGAATCAACCAGCACCTTATAAGATACAGCTCCATAGCTAGAGATGCCTTTTAAAGAGCGTCTAATTAATGCAAAATCCTTAGACAGTAGACCGGAAAAGATAACGGGAGAGCAGTACGTCCAACGGCATAACACGCAAGAGAAAATAAATTTGGAGATGATGTACAATGGCACCCTCAGATGCCGAATGCGTGAAATATAAAAGGTCGACTTTCTGACTTTAGGAAACTTTCGTTCCAAGTTATAGGACCAGTTGAGGTCAGTATACAGGACATATTCAATACATTTGAAAGGCTACCGGTGAGGCCTCGTAGCTCAGTTGGTAGAGCGTGCACATCCAAAGTGTAGGCGGTGTCCGTGCGTGGGTTTGAATTCCACCAAGGCTACTGAACTTTTCACAATCTCAACATAAAATACTTCAAATCTGCTAGACAACAAGCCCAAGTATTTGTTGACTAGTTGGTCGTTTCTCGAGGAAATTAGGTTAACCTTAAACGTCTCTCACTGTCACTCAAAAAACGCTTGATCTTGAAAGTAAGCCATCATTCAAGTCAGTTTTTTTCGTATCTTGATCACAAAGTCATGCATACGCACCAGGCACCAGGAGTAATACTGTCAATACCGTGTTAAGAAAGTGACAAGTTTTAATTGTCGTGCTGTGTACTGTACCAACATACCATATTGGTGTCCCCGTATCGTGAAATATTGCATAATCCCATTGCCAAAAGAGAATCAGTTCCACAACAATTTAATCACTGCGTGCTGGATAGATGTACAGAGAAAGTGAATCACTTTTTTGTGCAACGATAGCAAACAAACGGGTTTTATATACCGTTCTCCGAGCCCCTCAGTTGATTCCATGATTCCCAAAATCTGGCAGAATTGAAACAGTGCATCAGATTAGACAATAATACGACTGGGACGAATCATCACACCGGTTCACCGCTGTCAAAGCAATGACAGTGTGACTGAACCGACCGCGCAAACCTAAACAACCGAGGGTTGGTGTTAGCATATACGATCTGAAACTGTCAGTCACACCGTCACTACACTGATAAAATTTGGTAAAAGTGTGATGGTTCGTCTCTGTCGTATTCTTATTGTAATCTGATGTACTGTTCAGCGGGATAAACTGTAGTTTTTTACCCTTTTTTGTACCAGTTGAGATTTAACGAAATCTGTCCCGGGCATAAATTGTGCAACTTGGCATGATTGTTAATCTGTCTCTCTGTTCCAGTTTATCTCGCGAAATAAATGTTTCCAGAACTGAAACAATTTAATACATTAGTATTAGGAAAAAGTGTTATGATAGGCACTCACTCCGTCCAGTATCAAACAGCACAACATACTGGACACGAAACTACTGAACCATACATACACTTCGCACGCCGCATGAACGTTTGCAGATAATAAATAAACAATTTTTCTTCGTTTATTTTCACCCGTTGGGAACTAAAAGTGTTCAAAACTAACTACTCAGAACCACACACGGATAACAGACTAGCTTTGAGATCCAGTTCGTTGCTCGGGAGTACAAGCTAGGCTTTACGAAAGACAGGAAATAGTCTGACAGGTGGACGAATAATGTGACAGTATCAGCGTCAGATATAAAAACTATCAAAACGAGGTTGATTTATGGTACAATTCAATAGCGAACATTTGTATTTTTCCAGACATGATTTGGATACAACTATCCGTTACTGCCCAACACATGACTGTGGCAATGTCTGTTCAATAAATGAAAAATTCTGGGATTATTACGGCTGATTATACATAATCAGTCATCCGGCGAGACGCTGCTTCACTGAGTTCGATCAGATTTGGTAGTATGCGGACTGACGGATTTTGTGAATATTCACCTGCGGTTAAATTTGGGCAGTGCAGATATGTTCCATTCAGTTCGGTTGGTTGCTGAGAGCATACGGTGAAACTGTTCAATCTAAGGCTTGCCATTCGCACAACTTAGAATATAGCTGATCACAAAAGAGACATAATGCAATCTGGAATCTAAACAATGCGATATAACCAATAATCAATCAGATGCCAGCAATGGAATCCGACCCACGTGATTCGACAGTGAATCATTTTGACAACCAGCATCATTCATCATCTTCATCAACGAATCAGATCATTTCATGTAGCCCTGCTTTAACTTGGGTACAATCCCGGAGCCGGATAAAACAAATGGGACTTACTGCCTTCCGTGAGTCTTACGAAACAGCTCTCTGATCACTCAGGAATGATTTCGTTTTATGAAGAACACAAAAAATGTGTACTTCAAGAGATAATATCTCTGTAGTCCAGTCACACAAAGGCAAATCTCCATGATGCAACTGACACTTGTTAGTGAATCAACGGACATGTTTGTTCGACTGCAGAATCAGTGATAAAAAACGGTTTTTCAATAAAGACAAGAACAATGAAGAGCACTGGAATCTTCCTGTAGCGCGTAAAGTGCGTATGCCCTTGTTGGGAGTTGATCTTTGAATGGGTACATTCCCTCCCCCGCCTATCCACCCCACTACCCCCTCCAACCTCCCTACCCCAACCCCCCTCCCCAACTTCGGGACATGATTGGAATAGCATCGGTGCCGGTTTATGTGGCTCTTGGGTCCCCAGTCAGAACAATACAGTTTTGAGCCCGACTGGGCTGATAAGAGTACAATATCACACCGAGTTGTTTTCTAACACTCGTTTCAGTGTTTTGACAACTCGGCGTTTTAGTCAGTTCGGGTTTACTAACGCGTCCCTTCATCTGACGCGGTCAGCTCACTGAGTCATGCAATGTAGTTTTCTAATCTGAATAATAATACTCGAACCAAAATTGTTTAGGTGGAACGGTTCATCGGGAATATGTTTCTTCAAATTTAACGTATCCGTGTAAAGAGATTTGTCCACTTCTACCCACTGGGCATGTTATTTTCATCAAATAACGATATCTATAGAACGACGGAATAGCAGCTTTGTGGTAGTGCTGGTGGTGGTGGTGGTGGTGGTGGTGGTGGTGGTGGTACAATGGTTTAGTGACCCTACACTGGCATGTTTTGGACCCCTTGGTCCGAGGTTCTAACTCCACCACCGCCACCGAACGTTGGTTCTAGACAGCTTTGTTGTACCAGGCCTGACCTAACGGGGCCTTATTTGCGGTCCTCCAATCCTGCCGGGGCACCTATTACCGGTTAACACCACTGAACGTTGGGTGTCCGTCACTAGGGTGTTCCACACCGTCTGCTGTTCACCCCACATATCGGTGTGCACTATATGATAAAAGGTTATGCGTGGTATTGGTACAGACCAGGAACAGATTAATCACACCTAAAACACAGAGTTCAAAATTTGATTGTTGAAACCAAACTAACTTGATTTGAATGCCCCAGTTTTCAAACTGGAACATAGCATTCCTTTTTTGGAGAGCTATTAGAGAAACCATATATCTAGGCAGGCCAAGGCAGATTTGGTTCAGTGTGGCGAGAGAAACAGCTGCTTAAAAACGATGCGCACTAATTGTGGATAAATGGTTCGCATGGAGTCCCAGTGATCAAGAAAGAACATTAACCACCTGTTCAGTGATGTTCTCGAATTGTTCGGCTCCTGTTAGCTCTTTTTGGAATTCCGTATACATTTGGAACCGCCAAGAATCTTTGAGCTTCAAACCGGAATTTACCAGGAAACAGGAAGACGGATTAGCTGTGTACCAGTATCCGGTACCATAAAACCAAACGAGATGATGGGGAACTAATACTCTTCATCGTGAAGCGCTTCAATAAAATACTACTTAACGGTTTTTAAGTCCAATGAATCGGAATAGAACAAACAGGGACATGAAAATGAAAAACTGGGTCTTGATTTACGAGGATGGTGTATGGCTACAACGGCCAAGGATTATTCGGCTGAAGCGGGATAAGAACGCGGGGAGAGGAGGCTGGGGGGGGGGGTGCGGGTTGATTCCGTTCCATTATATCCAGCTCAGAACTGGGTATCTAAAAGGAGAGTTGACGTGAAGCAAATGCTGGCCCGCATTTCATATGCACCTTGTGATAGGAACCCAGGTGTTCCCTGTTAGAAATCAAGAAAACGTTTACACACAATTTCAACGGCAGGTAAACTCTAGGTAATACAATTCCATTCATTTTTCACTCAAGATAATCCCTGTCTGTTTGACCGGGATAATTGGATGTGATGATCTGTATTAATTGCTCAACTGTTCACATACGTCTCCAATCAATCTGAGACGGAGTACACTAACCTCTTTTGCTCCCCTCGCCTCCCCCTCCCGTCCCGTCCCGTCCCGTCCCGTTTCGCATGGTAACAGATTGAGAGACGATCACGCTCCAAGGAATCATTGCTAGACCTGAGTGAGGCTCTTCAACGGTTGACACCATCCCTATTTCAAGATCATTACTTGGAATCGTACAGAGTGAGTGGCTTTCTGTTTTTCATTGTTGTGTTTTCGGTTCAATTGGAGCACACATTGAATGGGACCCATGATCGTTCACGAAGGAAACAAACGGAAAATGTAATAGAAACCTTACGAAAGTTTCCTCAGTTTTACAAATTGTAATCTTCTTTGGCTTGATCAAATATTTTCGCATTTGAATGTTCGCATTTCCCGTTTATTCGAAAACAAAGTCCGGCAGACGAAAAAAATAGGTTTCTTTTTCTAATAAAAAACATCAACTGATCATTACAATTATATCGGATTTCGATCGCATCAAACTAAGTACAGACGATTGTTTATCTGATTCTCATTTCGGTTAGTTCGTTTGATGCGTCCCCCGGTCATGAGTTGGGTTTCTCCATTCGGCACTTTTCGGAGGTCGAGCCTTGTTATTTTAGCAGATCAAAGGTAGCCGTTGATATATGGTTACCATCTTTCAGGGACTTCAAGCAATTCGTCCTTTGCTGTTCTATCACTTCTGCTCCGTCTTTCTTCCCTGTTTCCTTTATCGACATTTACCCTGCCTGCTAGGACGATGTTCACTTTCTAATATCGAATATCGAGGTATTCACTGAAAACAGATATCAGATCCGTTGTGCGGTTCTCGCAGGTTCTCGAACTGCATGTCCACTTCCAATCTGTTTGTTCTGTCTATTGGGTAGTAAAATTGTGGTCCGAGTAAAAGCACCACGTAATAGTTTGAGCCACTTCTTTTGAACACACTTTGTGATCACTTTGTTAAGTATCGATTGAAACATCACACTTTTTGTTCTTCGGAAAGGAACTTAGTCGTGCACTCCCTTTGAGCAATATTCCTTTCGAGTTACGTGATTCTGTTGTCATAGGTGTCTATAGTTGATTTAGGCTCGGACGTTCCAATGAGCGATTGTTTAGTAAAACTATCTAATATTCCTTCTGATAGTTGTTTGATTGAATGCATTCTTTGATGAATTCCTTTATTTCCTTCGCTGCGGCAAAACGGGTGGTGAATTCAGGGTACCGATTCAGTTCCTTGACCATCCCGGGTGACTCGATAGATTTCGGTCAAATGAAAAAGCCTCACTGCCACATTGAAAACAAAGTCCGGTAGGCGAAACGAGCTTGGTCAAACTGAACAATGGATGGATGGATGGATAGATGGATGGATATGACTCTAATCTCTTACGAATGCATGACCACGGTCTGATTAAGCGGTCATCAAGGAGCTAATTATCACTAAGCGGCACAGACGGTATTCGCTTGTAACACGAGCATTTCCGACCATTGTAACCATATTAGATAAGTGAAAGGTATCTTTAAATATAATCAGATTTAGTCCATCATCTTTGGTCTGTTCAAAGACTCAGTGGGCCAAGGCGTACCACGAGTAGACGAGTGTAATGCCAAGGAGTTCATAGACTACACATGAGTCTAGCCTGATATCCAGAGCAACTAGCGGTGATAAACGTCCATCACTAATAATAAGGTGTCCTTGATAGTAAATAGACTTCAAGTTCAGTCTTTACACGCACTCTACTACTTCTACCATAATTGTTTAGTTTGGAAAAGGAATCTAATCACAACTGTGTTATGAGAAGTCACTGAAAACGGACGTTATCCTAGGTTTAAAAATGGTGTGTGTGCACAGTGAAACGGGGCAAATTGGCAATAGATCCGGTAAACACCATGGACGTATTGCGTTTTCATCATGTCAGAAAAAGCGATCATCATCCCGTTTTGTCGCACAATGCTCGATCCGTGAACTAGAACCTATATAGAAATGATTGACCACCAACACTGGCAATGAATTGTTTGCTTTTCGATTGCTGCTGTATAGTGAACCAAGAGCGCTATTTAGAATCACTCATCACAATTGTCCACCAATGAACCGAATGTTGTATAAATTTGTTGCCGACCCTGAACTCTTCAACGACCGGTTGCTTGTTCCAGTGTGTCTGTGACTGTGTGACTTCAGTCGAGCGACAGGCAATTCGTTTATCCGCATGGAAAAGAACAACCATGCAAACTTCATTCCGGATGGTTGCTGGTCTATATACTCTCTCTCATTCCGATACTCATTCAGCTCCAAATAGTTGACCACTTTGCTAACCCCAGTGAAAAATTCATGATTGCGGGGAAAACCCAAAATGTGTCCGAACTCATCTTGGATATTTCCCCGCTGACACTCAGTATCTATTAGCATATTCCTCGGAACGGGTCAAAATGCTTTAGAGTGCATACGATAATCACAGTTGAAGCTATTTGTGGTTAGCATTCGACTCCCAACCTAAGCGTTCAGAACCGTTCTATCTAAACTGGTCATCCTCCTTGCGATTTTGCAGAGACCCGTGCCACTCCTCTTAGTTACTTTCTTCACGGCGGCTGGCTCTTGGGAGAGATTAAGCCGGCTTCATGGATATCTCGAATTGCCGCTGCGCACGTTCGGCGATCTGCGATAAGATCGGCGCATATTGTGATCCAGCTCGACTTCCATTGGCGAACGCCGTAGACGAAGAGGAGACCAAAGATTTTAGTATTCTTTCGTACCGTGTCAAGCCAGGTTTTCAACTGTCCACCGACAGCGCCAGTTCAGGCAGGGAGGTGGTGCCAAGATAGCTTTTGTCAGGTAATTATCGGACTTACGAAGAATGTGGCCAAACCATTGTAGTCGTCGCCATTGTATTAAACTTCTCAGCCGTACAAGATTAAAACCAATTTCTGATCGCTTCGCTTGAGAGTTGATCCCTCTATCGCACTCTCAGAATGATTCTTAATCACGAGTGATTGAAGACTTCTAATCTATGACAGGCTTCGACTCCGAGTGGCCAGGTTTCGCAGCCGTAAAGCAAGACAGAACGAACTGCTGCGGAGAAAACTCGGATTTTTGTTTTGAGGCTGATTTTGTTTCTGCGCCAAACGGGATTCTTTAACTGTAAAAACGCCCTTCTTGCTGCGTTGATGCGCATTTGCACCTCGTCTTTAGTTTGGCCGTTGGGGAGAATGGTTGAGCCCAAGTATTTAAAGCTTTCGACTGATTGGATCCGCTCGTCCTATAGTAGTGAAGCATTTTCGGAATGAATCGGGACTGTCGCAAAGATTTTGGACGATCTCGGAGGTCTGTCGATTGACACGATCAACGATTACTTGGAGTTTAGACATGTCATCGCCAAAGACGACAATATCATCCACAAATTATAAGTCGGTGAGCCATAAGTTCGGAGAGATCTGGACTCAGTGGTATCCTTCCATCGAGGGACACACACATCCAGTTCAGGGCAAAGTTGAAAAGCGTTAAGGAAAATGTGCACCTTTGTCGCACTCCAGATCCTAACCCGAACGGGCAAGATTCCTCTACGTAGATAAGAATTCGGGCGCCAGTGTTAGAATAGTAGGATCTCATTAAGTTGACAAGTTTGACTGCGACACCATCGGCCAGAACTATGTTCCATAGTGATTCGCGACCTACGGAGTCGAATGCCGCAAGAAAATCAATAAAGCAGACTGTGGTAGGTTGTTGTACCTTGTGGCAATGTTCAAAGAGTCGACGTGGAGTGAACATTTGATCGACGCAACCCACACCGGGGCGGAATCCCTTCTGGTTAGGACGAATCCGTGCGTGCATTCCTGCAGAAAAGCTATTCAGCAAAAGTTGTGCAAAAACCTTGGTCACCACTGCCACTCCTCCCCGTCTACATGAATACACACAATAACAGCCGCCTACCGAATGTCAGTCACAGTCATTGATACATGAGTTCAAGCCCCGGTAATATAGAACTAATAAGTAATGCCCATATATACATGTAATCACCATTGCATTCTTTCCAATACAACAACAGAGCTAGATTGCACACATGAAGCCAAAACAGTTTTCGTCCCATCTGAATTGAGGCAATACGACAGAAAGTTGGCCTAACGATGTCAAAGTTGGAACGTGACGTTCGCTTATACATATAAAACTTAGGTATCATTTTCCAGGCCAATGCTTACCGACATCTTGAGCAAATGGCCAACGGAAGCCGGATGAAGACTATCCTTCCGGGTCATTAGGTTGAAAAATGAAACGGATTTTACCTCAAATCGGTTTGTGTAATACTACCACGTCACTCATCACATAAAATCTTGAGTCACAGGTGGAGTCGTCCCTTCGAATCGTAGACGGTTAACACTGAAATAGACATTTCCTTGGAAGAGTAACAAGGCGATCTTGTCACATCCATAGGCTCTCTAATACTAAAGAGAGAAGAGACAGAACGAATCACAGAACTGTACATTGCGACAGTATTTGAACAGATCAGTATTTATCAACTACAGGCGCGATATTGTAAACGTTCCGTCTCTACCGAGCACGTGGCATCTGAACAGACAATAGTTTACAAGCACAGCTAGATAATGTCAAATCAATTATTATCGAGAAAACAGATCATCTGATCCATTTCGTTCAGACGTTTAACCGGACATTGTTACCAAAGTCAGTAGTGTACGACACCCTTAGCAGAAGGAACTTCATGCAAAATATCACCAAGAAAATGGTCTTTGATTACGCCTACAGTGGAACCCTTGTCCTTGGTGGCCCCCAATATATCTCCATTCGCATTTGAATAAGCGGCTGCCTATCTTGACAGAACGGATAGACAGTGGCAAACACGAATCAAGGTACACTCCGGTGCACCGAACCACTTGATCAATGATCATTCTTCCACGTCACCTTCGACCCCCNCAACCAGACAATCGAAGGCACGCACTAAAGTTGAGTAAAATCATTCGAGTTAACCAAAAGTGAGTTAAGTTCACACTGAGTAGTTGACGCGCTTGGATGCCACCAAATCATCCGTTTTTACTGCTACCTTCATGGGATTTCAGTGGTCCAAGATGAAACTGTAGTAGTGTTTTACTAAAGCTCAAAACCGTCACACAGCTTTTGGGCAGAACAAGAAGGCATCTACGCAGAAAACGTATCCAGCTCATAACAAAATCGAAAGCTATTCCCAATCAATCTGTATAATCATTTTGCCACGCATGTTATTTCACTCACACATAGTGCAAATATATATCCGCTTGTAAGAGATAGAATTTAACTCCTCTAAAAGCTACCACTTTCCCTC